CCCAATTGGGACCTCGCTGCGGGCACCTGCGCTTCTGGCCCAGGCAGGGGGGCTCTGGTGAGCTGGGGCTTCTGTGATCCAGGACAACAGCTTTCTGGGGACAGCTCAGGTGCCCTTGCCTCCGAGAGGCCTCAGCGGCATCCCCTGTCCAAATCAGAAAACTTCTCACACCATCCTGGGTCTCCATCCTGCCTTGTTTTTCTTCACAATGCTCAAAGCCACCGCGTTCTTCCAGTGTGAACTTATTTTCAGTCTGTCCCCAAGCCCTCCATTGCGTGCCCTGAGCGAGATTCACAGAGGAGGGACAGGCTTTGGATGTATGCCAGAGTCCCCCACCTAGAACTGTGCCTGAGTAGAACACTTAGTTTTGATGCATGTATAGATGCATGGATATCCTGTCGTCTTAACACCTGTCACCTGTGTGGGTAATGATAGGTCAACTTGTTTCCAAAAGTGTGGGAAGTTTTGATAAAAACTGTGTCTACCATGGTTTAAGAGTTAAGAGGAAATGTATGTGATAGTTTCCGGAGAGAGTCTTACAGTCTACACTGTTTTTTTTTTTTTTTTTTTTTTTTTTTTGCCTAGTACCAAATGCGTGCAAGTTTTGTTTTAAAGAGATACTCCTGTTAGGTGTGGATTAGTCCCTGCCTCTAAGAATTGACACACCTAGAGCCAGTTTGTTTTCCTGGGACCCAGAGAAGTTGAGGGTGGGGGAGATGGTGTGAGTCTCATTTGCAAAACATTTTCACTTTCATTCTGAGATTTCAGCTTTTGACTGTCATAACAGGAGTGGCTTTGGGGTTTGGCAGTCATTAGCAAAGTGAAGTTATGTCTTTGTTTTCAAAGGTGTCCTCTTACTGTGTAATTGTTACCTGGCATCTGCTTTATTACACCCTGCCTGTGGTCCCAACTGCAGACCTGCTGACCAAGAGAAACAGAATGGAGAGAACTCCACTTTTAGCAGATTTAGTCTAGTTAGAATGGCACATTTTAGGACTATTCTAAGGTATCAATGTCTTTTAACATAAGACTATGTAGGCTGGTGGTATAGCTCAGTGGTAGAGTACATGTGTATCATGACCCAGGCCCTGGGTTCAATTCCTAGCCCTAGGGCAGAGAAAGATGAGCCCTAAGAATAGGTAGATCTAATAAAAGCACAAATTATGTCTTGCATATATTGATTTGCACTTTTCCCCCCTCTTAAAAGTCAATACATGAAATGCGTTATTTCTGTAATGTCTAAGCCTTTAATAGAGACACTATATTCATTTAGAAATTATAACAAGTTTCAACATTGTACCTGATCCATCATCTCAATTTCTATTGGACTTTATCTTACTTCTCTGAGAATGTACGTGTTTGTAGAGGCTCTGCCCACCCCCAGGCACATTCAGGGTTGTGAAGATCTCAGGTTCTAAAGGTTAACATGGAATTTTCCCCCCAGGGAAGCAACACTGCAGAGAGAGTTGAGGTTCTCATGAGAGCCCTGCAGGAATCCCAGCCATGCCTCAGTCTGGGGATCCACAGCATCTGAAGGCCCCCTGCCTCCTAGAGCTTCCTTTTGGCACCTCTTAAGAAGTTCCATGGTCTCCTTGCCCAGGCTCACCTAGTTGCACTCCATTGTTAAGTAGGCACAACGGTGGCATTTGTCACACAGGGCTATTGTGAGCTGTGAATGTAAAGTACCTACAGGTGCCTGGAATGGAGTAACAGCTTCATAAGTATCAACTGATGGGACAGAGAAGCTCGCTGGGTGGGTAAATTGCTGTGTACACAGGAGGAGCTGCATTCCTCTGCCTCTCCCCAAGACCCAAGTCAAAAAAGCCAGGCATAGTGGTACAGTACGCATAAGTACTCCTGCAGTACTTATTTATAGTCACAGTAATTTTAGTCTCAGCACTGGGGAGGCAGAAACTGGGGATCACTGACAACCGCTGGCCAGCCAGTCTATCCTTACTTGGCGTATGCTCAGCCAAGTGAGAGACCCTGTCTGGAAAACACCAAGCAGACAGCCTTACTGAGGAAAGACATCTGAGGTTGAC